TGCTGACTCTCTGTAAACCGCTTAGAGAGGCCTGAAAGGCCTATGAAGCGGTATATAAGTCTACTGCTATTGCTATTGCTATTGCTATTGGTGCTGGATAAGAGTTAAGAGAATTCAAGATGGGCTGGATTTGGATCACTTGTGGGAACGTGAGGATTCCAGACTTATTCCTCTCTTGACTCCACCTCCAGTCTCTGCCTGTCCTCTCCTACAGAACAGGCTTGTCCTTTCGGCTTATAGGTGATGATGTATGAGTTATGCCACATCACTATAGGTCAGTGTTGGCAAACCTTTTCGGCACCATGTGCCAAAATCGGACTGCACACATGGGTGCGCGCAGTGGAAACCAGAAGAACAGCTGCCCAGTGCGTATGCGCATGCTGGGAAGTTCTTCTGGTTTCCGACATGCACATGCCCACTGGCCACTTGGTCTTCAGGTTTCTGGCATGCATACATGCGTGAAGACCAGCTGGCCGGGGCTCATGCGCTCACCGGAAACCAGAAGATCATCTTCCCGGCACCGCGCACACCGAGCGCATGCACTGGCCAGCTGGTCTTCTGGATTCTGTTGCTCCCTCGCTCATGAAGACCAGCTGGCCGGCACTCGGGAACTCGGAAGAGCAACGGTTGATGGCTCACGTGCCCAGAGAGCTGACCCTGCGTGCCACTTCCGAAACATGTGCCATAGTTTCGCCATCACAGCCATAGGTCAAAGGAGACTTTGTTTTTCCGGAGCATGCGGTTTCTAATTTTGTTTCTACCAAGAATCCTGGCGTATTCATTTTCTTAAGAAAGAGCTAGCATCTGGGGAAAAGCAAGTATGATTGGGAAGGCTTTGAACTGAGAGACCAGGCAAAGATCGAAGATCGTCACTTTTTTCTGAGAAGGGAGGCGTTATCTGATCTTAATGTGGCTTCCCGAACGGTAATCTTGCAGAAGGGAGGGAGGGAGGGAGGGAGGGGCGAGAACAGGCTATTCAGTAGCATTTTGCCCAGTTTCCCGAATAACCTTTGAACCTGAATGCCTTTGGAATTGTGCATGTTCAGCATCAATCCAAGAGGAAGTCAAGAATGGCCAAGGAAGGTTTAATCGTTAAATTGAGCCGGTTAATTTTTACTCGTGTGTTTTGCAAACAGCGCGGGTTCCTTACGGCCAGGTGTAGAACGTTGAGCGGTGACCCAAGGAGGAAAATGGGCAACTCTGGTCATCAAGCTGAGATTGACTCAGAGGAGAAATCACAGTTCAATGGGGTGGAATTCTATGGGGTCAGATCCTAGGTTTTTGCACGGCGTGGATTCTGCTGGGATTTGACAGATGAGGTAAGAATCCTTTGCGATCGCTTCCTTGCAAAAAAATGCTGTTTCTGTTTCAAGATCAGATCAGATTAACAGAGTTGGAAGGGACCTTGTAGGTCATCTAGTCCAACCCCCTTTGCCCAAGCAGGAGACTCTACACCATTTCTGACAGATGGCATTCCAGTCTCTTCTTGAAAGCTTCCAGGGATGAAGTTCCCACAACTTCTGAAGGCAACTTCTGTTCCATTGGTTGATTGTTTTCAGGCCAGAAAGTTTCTCCTTATTTCCTTATGTCCAGGATGAATCTCTCCTCTTTTTCTACATAAAAGTTTTTTTTGTTTTATAACATATAAAAATTCCATTATTGGTTAAACAGCGTGTTGTCTGGGTACAAATATTTTTAGGAAATCATCATCATCAAAGTGTTTGCAACAATATTCATCACATGAATATTCATTCTGTCACAATGATAATCATAATCTGAATATTTGCTCATCCAATTTTAACAAGCCTCCCTTTTTTCATTCTTCCTTTTCTTATAGTTCCATGTTTCTAACTTCGGTCAGGTTGAATCTCTCCTTTTTCAGTTTATCTCTCTTTATCTGAAGCAAAGGGAAGAGAATTTGCATTTGAGAAGGAGTAAGGGGGGAAAAGGGATGCATTAAAAGATCACAGCAGCTCTTGTTGAAAGTTAGTGCTTTCTCCACTATTTTTATCCAGAAGGTGAAATGGGACAGAAAATCTGAACAGCATAATTGATGAGGCAATGAACTGGAAGAGGCAGATCAAGAATAAGCATTTAAATATCTATTTATCTATTTATCTATTTATCTATCTATCTATCTATCTATCTATCTATCTATCTATCTATCTATNTTATCCCATTCTGAATATTTTTACAGTATAATTTTTTTTTTACCAACAATTTATATTTGTATATCACTAAATTTTCAATTATGTATAATCCCACCAATCATCTATCGAGTTATTGTACATTATATATTCAAACAAAAATATTCCCCGGATTTTCTGATGCACCCCATTCTTGCCTGTAGAGATTCTCTGTCAACCAGATCACGATTGTCCCAAAGGTGGTGCTTTTCCCAGGAGGCAACTGAACTTTCTTGTTTTTTTTTCTTTTGAAGACGTTTCGCTTCTCCTCCAAGAAGCTTCTTCAGCTCTGACTGGATGGTGGGGAACGGAAGGATTTATATTCCTTGCAGACAGCTGGTCATTTGCAACCTTTTTGAGCAGAGGTGTCAAACTGCATTTCTTTGAGGGCCGGATCAGCATTGTGGTTCTCTGTGGGCTGGACAGGAGGGAGAGGGGGGGGCAGAGATCGGACGGATGGCTCCTACAGCACCATGTGCCACCCCCACCCCATTGGCTGCCAGAGGCACTGCGGGCTGGTCCTTTGCTATTTCCAAGCCAGCCCACGCCCAAGTAATAGCACCCTGCGGGTCGGATCCGGCCCACGGGCCTTGAGTTTGACACCACTGTTTTAGAGGGTCGTTGAGCCCACTTGGAGGTTTACAAATACAACCAATTTCGTTGTATTTTAAGTACAATGACAATAAAGATTATACTTACCTGTGTCCTCAGGGAATGGTGTGGGAGTAGGAATGGATTTCCAGAGTTAAAAATTGCAGACTGCAGGAACCATTTGGACCACTCAGGTGACCCTGAGGACACAGATTAAACTCCAAGTGGCCTCAAGGACCCTTTAAAAGGATGCAAATGACCAGCTGTCTGGAAGGAGGATAAACCCTCCCGTTCCCCACCATCCAGTCAGAGCTGAAGAAGCTTCTTGGAGGAGAAGCTAAAACAAGGAAGTCCAATTGCTCCCTTAAAAAGCACCTTTGGGATCCCCATTCTTACCGGGTCTTAAGAAGACACGTGAAGCCGGATTGACTCAAAACAACCATGTGACTCACTTAGCAATTGCACTGGTTTGCTTAATAATGATGACAAGATAGGTCGCAATACGGGGCAAAGCTCACCCAGCAACCGTGTCCGTCCCATGTGTGTCTGTTCACCACCACCCCCTTACTCCCCCCAAATCGCGGCATGTTTGAACGGGTGGTACTCAGCACCTTCTGCCATGTTTGTCTCCTGGGCAGGTCCACGACATCTTCTACCCTTTCGCCCAGTCAGAGGAGAAAGAGGATGAGCTGACCTTTCTCCGAGCGAACGAATGCAAGACGGGCTTCTGCCACTTGTACAGAGTCACAGCCATCCTGCAGCGCAAGATGTACGACTGGACTCAGCCGTACGTGCCTAGCAAAGGTGAGGGCGGGGAGCGCTTGGGCCTCCCTTCGCGCACACAATTCTTGGGCTGTGGAAAGGATGAATCTTTCTAGCACTGATGATGTTACCTAGTTCGGTCATGAACGTCTACAAGAAAACAACTAAGGTCAGAGAGCATCAAGGACCCCACAGCCCTCCTCCCCCTCCTCCCTGCAAACCCACATTCCCTTCTAACACTTGATGATGTTACCTAGTTGGTTCGTGAAATGTCTGCAAGAAAATAACCAAGCTCAGAGAACACCAAGAATTTGATTTTGATTTTATTTGTCTTGTATGCCGCCCACTCCCGAAGGACTCCGGGCGGCTCACGATAGACAAGGGAAAGGGGGAAA